ATATTTTTGAGGTATAATTATTAAATATATTCGGGGGGGTCAGGTTATACTTTAAAACCCAAAAAATAGTCTGGGATTTTTATTTCTGGATTAAATAAATGCTAAAATTAGAGATTAAACAAATTTCAAGTTGCCTAAAAGATATTTTTTTGATTTATTTTTTTGCAAATGTCATAGGTTGCGCAGTAGCGAAATAACCGCAAACCCTCTGCCTGACTTAGGATTCTAGATTCACCAATTAATAAAATATTATTTTTTTGTTATTTTAACTTGCCTAAAATACATTCCCTAAATTCGTCGTCAGCTCTCCGACTAATACTCCGTCCAACGAGAGATCATGGTTGATCAAACATAAATAACGATAGGGCACAGAGCCGCAACGAGGTGTTTGCGTTAAGTAATTTTTATTTTTAATAGTGCAGTGGACAATATTAAAAATAAAAATAATTTAACGCGAACACCTTGTTACAGCTCTGTGCCCTATCGTTATTTATGCCTGATCAACCATGATTTCTTGTTAAACGGAGTATAAATGTTTGTGTATATGCATAATTAAATTAATTTTAAATATTTAGTTTACGCAACTAATTGCTTATTTCACTAAATTTTATTACTAATATAACTAAATTTTATTATTTTTGATATTATCTATTACAAGATAAATATACTTTATAAACTATATATTGCTTCTTCATAGAGGAAGCTTTGTTTTCGTGAATTTTGTATATGAACTTTCGATTGCGTTTAAGTTGGGTTTAGTCAACCAAATTTAAAAAAAATTATATATGAAATAGGGGTAGATGAAACCAACGAAGAGATTGGTTTTTGAGTTTTTTCTGCCAATATGTTCAGATTGTTGTAAAACGTCGAAATATCGCTTAAAAAAAAAAATGTCCGTATTTGTGTGTGTGTATGTGCAGATTTAATGTCTGTGGTTGCTCTAACTTCCGCAAATATTGAGATATCGGGCTGTTTTTTTTTTAATCGATAGAATATCATTCAAGGAAGGTTGGTATTGAATTTGGCGATGATCGGTAAAGGGGTTCTTTTTTAAAAAAATTTTGAATTTTTTTAGAAATGTCCGTGGTTGCTCTAACTTCCACAAATTTGGAAATATCGATCTATTTCTAATTTTATTATATTTTTTAGTCTTTTCTACCTCTATTTCATATATAACATATATAATTTTATAAGATTTGGTTGATTAGACCCAGCTTTATACGCGATCAAAGGTCCATAATTTTGATCGCATATAAAGCTAAGTCTAATCAACCGAATTTAAAAGAATTATATATGAAATAGGGGTAGAAAAGACCGAAGTAAAAATTGTTTTTTTGAGTTTTCGATGCCAATGTGTTGCTTATGTTCGAAAACGTCGAATTTAAATTTTTTGAGGATCGGTTATGAAGATTGGCTATCCACACATCAAATAACTTAGGGTAGATAGGCGAATTGGATTAATATAAACTGTAAGACAATTTTCGTTAGTATTTTATTTTAAACGAGCAATTTTATCGTGCTAATTAGTAATCCGATTTGCCTTGGTCTACCCTATACATTTTTTAGGCAGAAATCGGTAACCCTTTCACTAATCTTCGCCAAATTTGAAACAACCTCCCTTTAATGATACCTTATATATAAGATTACGTGTATGATTTGTACACTTTTTAGGCAAAAATTGGTAACTCCTTCACCGATCATTGCTAAATTCAACACCAACCTACCTTTAATAATACTCTATCCATAAAAAAAAAAATTTAACTTGATATCTCAAAATTTGCGGAAATTAGAGTAATCATGTAGATTTTTTTAGATAGAAATCGGTAATCCCTTTATTATTGGCAATTTTTCTAATTCTATTATATTCTTCAGTTTTTTCTACCCTTATTTCATATATAATTCTTTAAAATTTGGTTAACCAGTTCTTGAGTTATAGAAATTTTGGTAAATTTGGCACACACACACACACACACACACACACACGTACAACATACGGAGATTTTTTAAAATTACGATTTTCCGACGTTTTAGAACATTCTGAACACATTGGCATCGAAAACTAGAAGAACAATTTTTTTCTTTGGTCTTTTCTACCCCTATTTCATATATAATTCTTTAAAATTTGGTTGATTAGACGTAGCTTTATATACGATCAATGATCCATATACGTTTATGAAAACAAAGCTTCCTCTATGAGTGTGTTTCTCCCAAAGTAAAGAAACACAGATCAGCATTATGACACAAAAAAGAAAATGCTGTGGGCGTTACATACGAAAGTAATTGTACTTCTTTAACTATACCGGCCACGCAAGAACAAGGACTAAATAAAAAGATAATAAATAATTCCGATATTGAAGAAGAAAACATTATTTTAGTTGATCTTAAAACGTCAGGCTTTGAACAAAATAGCGAAATATTACAAATTGCTGTAAAATATGGCTCTTCAATCTTTGCAACATATGTACAGCCAATACAGGAAATATCTGCTGCAGCTACGGAAGCCAATGATCTGAGAAATTATTGTGGCACTCTCATGTATCATGGTGCAGAAGTCCCATCTGTTTCTCTTCGTGTTGCAATGAAAAATTTTTCTTGTATTTTTTAAGAAATGTTACATTGCAATGCACAATTTGAACATTGATGGTCCCAAATTGTATGATGTCATCAAGTTTTGTAATTTGCAATCAGATTTTTCAGGAATTATTATAAGTTTGTAATTGTTATAAGTTTGTATAATTGTTACATAATATGTAATAAGTATATCGTACATACTGTTATATTGCACGTATGCAAGTTGCATTCCAGATTATATCACACAAAAATAAATTGCACACACGACTATATATATTGCACATATAAATATAGTAAAACCATAGGAACGTTTGGTACATGTACCATTATTGAATATATTAATAAAATAATTATTTATTATTTACATATTTTATATTTATTACAATATATTATATTTATATTTTAATTTTGTAAGCGATAATAACATGTGTAGAAAGTGTTACTATTACGACGCGCTGTGATAATCGTTTTGTAAGCAAATAAAGCCTTCCTTTTGTCTTTTATGATCTTCGTTAAGGCGATATTTGCTTCACAGGGATACATTCCGTTTTACAGACAGGAATAAATTTTACACGAAGTTGAGCAACGCGAATTACCAAATCAGCCTTCAGCTGAAGATTCTTTAAATAATCAATGGGCTCCAAGTAGAAATTGTGTACCAGAGGAGCTATCATTGCCTTCAATTCCAGCATAGCATATCGTTGGCCTATAATTTGGTATGTATTGTAATCTTTTTATATAACACTGCAATATATATTAAATATAAAAAGATGCAGCTTACCGATGCAGTTACGTGGTCCAGCACTAAACGGCAAATACGAATAAGGATGACGATTTTGAATCCTCTCTGGCAAGAATCTATCAGGATCAAACACTTCTGGATTTGACCAAAAATTTGGATCTCTGTGGACTGCGTAAATAATAAGATCCACGACTGTGCCAGCAGGAACTATATATGACTCTGAAAAGTATATTATACAATAATAATTACAAATAATAATTAAAAACTTTATTAAAGTTTTATCATTAATTACACATCATATACAACATGCAAATAGATGTCTATAGTTTGCATAATAAAAATGTAATTTAATTAATGTTTAAATTTTTTTAAGTATTATTTGTTTAATATTTCTGAAAATATTGTACATTGTATTAGATGTAACTTTGTGTATAAAAAATTTTGAAATGTTATAGATATAAACTCATCAATAAAAATATAGAAATACTAAGATATATGTTACAAATGTATAAGAATAATACTGTATTTTATATTATTTTATATGTACATTGTATATGTACATATACTGATACATTTGATTATATGTAGCGTAATATATTTAAAAAAATGTACAATAAAAAATTGGATAGATGCATACGTAATTTTACATCTTCCCCAGGAATTCGTGATATAAAAAAGACGCTGGGATATAAGCGCAAGGCTTCCTTTATACATCTCTCTAAATATGGTAAATCTTGCAATAATTTCATAGTAAATTTATCCCCATGCTCTTGAAATGCAGTATCGACTTCGTTTCTGACACGATCCTGTATCATTATTGTTAATTAAAAAGTTGTCTCTTGTAATTGTGATGTTTTTATTTAGAAACAAACATATTCCGAGAAATTACAAAAATAATTATTTTACAAATGTCTTGATTAATTTGTTTGAAATATATGTATATGCATAAAATACATTTGATATTGATATATCTTTAATAAATAACTTCTAGGATCAATTAATTTCTTTGTTTAAGAATGACGGCTTACACTTGACGATAAATACCTGAATGTCCTTATGCTCAGCTAGTAGTGCTGAAATGAAGCACAGACCCATCGCTGTAGTATCATGACCCTATAATCGTATGTATCAATACAATATTATATATAACGATAAACCAAGCAATAAACAAGAAAAGTGACAAAAGCATATACCTCAAACATAAAAGTATCGACTTCTTCCCTGATATCTGAATCGGTCATTAGGCCATCACGGGATGCCGCTATTAGAAGATCCAACATTGCAAGCCGTTTTTTTTTTACTAAATATGTCAATATGTGAAAATCAATTTAATAGCCCAATTTTTCTATGACGTTTTCATTACATAACATTGACTACGTTGAAAATTTAAATTACATTTTAGTTTTTAAATTTAGTTTAGATTTTAAATTACATAATATTATTAAATTGTTTTATAATATTAAACTGACAGTATTTAAAGAACAGCTAATATATAATTACATTACATACTTCCTATTGGTTCTGCGTCATCTCTCTCTGCCGATGTGTCATTACTAAAGCTCTTCAAGTATTGACCATTAGTGCGATCATGATAAAATTTTCTTTCAGCAATAATCTATGTAAATACAACATTATAATGTTTCTTTAATGTTTTAAATTAATGCATTAATAATGTGATATTAACATTTATAAATTATTTGATAATAATTATCTTACGTTTCTATATGATAGACGTGAAATATTTTAATTATATTCAAAGTTGATAATGTCTGAATATAATATTAAGTATTTTTACACGTACTCGTTCAGTAAATCCATGTAATATCTTCAGAATCTTTCTTTGCTCTCTACCTGTCGGCGACAACCAGAATATCCAATTGATGTACAGCCATGGTCTCGTCAATCTATATCATAATTACTTAATAGTAGACATATGTTACTTTAAGAAGTCATAATAGTATAATTTGTAAAAACTTTCTTTAGTTTTTCTATAATTTTTTCTATCATTCTTACAATTAGTAATATTGATGTTACCTTATAAAAAGAGAATACATTTACAACACTAATAAAATTATGATAAAAGAATGATAAATGAATGAATGATAAAAGAATGATAAAATTATAATAAATGAATAAAAGAATCTTATATTACGAGGATTGATACGAAAGTAATGCCTTCTAATTTTTTTATTTCAAATCTGGCGCCGTAGAAAATTTTGCGTTTCACTGAGGTGTTACTTAAAGTTTCTAGTTGCACTATGTTGAGTGGTGTTGTGTTCATTTACGTGAGTGTGTCATACGAGCAGTTCGAACTGGTGTGTGTTTCAAATTCGTCACAGACCAGGGTGATGGTGGTTGAATTTCTTACCGTGGAAAAAGTGAGTTTCAATGGCTGCGTTCGGCGGAGAAAGCAGCTCAATGAGCGCTCAATGATTCTTTATTACGATTGGTTTCTACACTTATTAGTCCCAGGGAAGAACTAAAGGCAAGGTCCAATCATTTTAAAAAATCACTGATCGCTTACTGAATAGCTTTTACTTTCTTTGTATTTCAATAGTATTGCGTACAAGTACTAAATTATCCGGAATACAATTTTGCAAAATATTAAAGTACATAGCTTATTCATAGCGCATGAAATAAATATTTAAGTTTATTCATTTTTAACATTTATACGGGAGAATATTTGTTTATACTCTTTACAACTTCCTAATCTACTGGCATTACGTTAGGAAGCTGTAAACAGCACTGAAATTTTACTCCTACCTATGTAGTTGCATATTCCTCAAAGATGCAGTTTTAGATTGCAATAAAAGCCTGTACAATACGGCTGTGAGTAAAACGAACCAGCGACATACTGAATACTTTTATCCTAACCAATACTAATAGAACAACAAGCTAATCGAGTTAAAAATAGTGTAACGCTTGAAGAATAACTTACATAAAGCATTAAGGGGGGAGTCTCATGTAACCGGTCAAAAAAATCGAGAAAATTTGATTACATAAATCATTAGTATAATACCTCTAGAATATGTTCCCAAAGTTCCAGAGCAAAATTCGAACTTGAAATAGGCGATTTTATACCTGAGCGTTATGCAAGTAAAGCGCGCGCTCCGAGAACTTGAAACTTTAAACGCGATTTTCTCAAAAGCATGTTTTTCAAATTGGTGTGCAAGATTACTCATGAACTATTCGACCAATCGACTTGCCCTTTGGCGTGCATGTAGATAACTAAATACCATTGTATGTAAACCTACTTGTTTAGTCATTTTATCAAATTAAATAACTTTTATTGCAATAATTAAAGCCAAAATTTTTCCGTAAAAATCGAATTTTTTTTTCTAAGTTCTGTTATTTTTTTAATTTTGCATTTTTTACTGAACAAATAGGTTTACCGACAATCGTATCTTATAATAAAAGTTGAAAAATTTTGTATTTTTGGTTCAGTGATTATATTAATTGCAGGCGCAATGCTGCACACCAATTGTGAAGTCCGGCGCCGCGGCCTTTGAGAATAGGCTTTGTTGCTACTTATAAATAAAGAATTTTGCAATGAAAAAATATTTTTTTACATCTATAAATGTTGCTAAAACCGTTACCCAAGTTTTAATAAGTTTTATTTTAATGTCTCTTTAAAAAAAATTCCAGAAAATTGCCTTGTTTTCAGCGTTTTACATGAGGCTTCCCCCTTAAGAAATTTCTGAAAAGCACGTTTACCTCATAAAAACTATAATATTGCTAGGAAATGAACAAAATTTATGCAAAACGTCAGATATAGAACTATGAATAATTTCATGGTATTTACAAGAGCGCTTTTAACCATATAGCTTTGTTAAATATAACGAGTAGCATATTGCGCACACTGGCATATTGCGCACACTGGCATATTCCCTCTTGTTACCCTATTATAGTTTTACTTATTATTCTTTTATAAATTACCTATGAGTAACAAGTTTGCCCATGCGATTAACCGCTTTTCGATACCGCTGCTGAAACTCACCAAGGCCTTGTAGAGAAGTGCCCATGGCAGTTTCTGCAAACGCATTTATAAACATATATTATTATAATACATAATATTATATATACATTGTGTATATCGATATTTTCAATAAAGATATTGTATTTTTTGTCTTATTTTATTCAACAATAAGAATAAAATTTTGTACAATTATAAATATCATACCACATATTGCATTCAGCGTATGTTCACTAAAGAATGGTACTAAATCTTTTACAACTGTTCCTCCAGTTTTTTTTAATGAGTTAGTCATGCTTTTGCCTTCCTCTATCAAAATTTCAACAAACTGCTGCAATATATTAAAATGAAATGTGGGGGTTAATATCTTTCGTCGCAAATGCCACTTGGCGCCTAAAACATAAAGAATATAATGCATAAATGTAAGATAACGACGCACAGTGGGATGAAATGCAAATCTAGCTGAACAAAACTAAAAAAATCAATATTTTTAAATAAATTAAATAACATAGTAAAGTATTATTTATACTTGTATAATGCAGATTCTATCATAATAATGCCGGTAAAATATTCTGATGTTGTTATAACAAAGCCCATAATAACAGTTTCTCAGATCAACTAGTTATTGGAAAATTATATTATGTTTTTACATAATTATATATTATATGTAGAAAAGTAAGAACAAAGAGGATTTAGGAAAGAGATCTAGACTAAGAAAAAGGAAAAGGATTTGAGCTCGCGCAAAGCGCGGGCAAAAAATTTAGTTTTTAGATATTTTAACAAAACTGTTCTTTCTGTGTTCCAAAATAAAATCTACGTTGAAAGGCCGAAGATTGTTTTCAGAAGTAGTAATAGCGTTGAGAGTGAGATCAACCGAGAAGGAACATAAAAAAAAAAACATTGGACTGAATAAGTTGTAAATAAACCCCTAAAAATTATAAAAGCAAAATTTGGAAATTTTTTGAACAGATCTTTGTATATCGTGTCGAAGCTTCATTCATAAAAATGATTGCACATGTATTTACATCAGGCATGGTCAACCCCGAGCTCCGGAGCAACGATGCTTCCCCTTTTCTATCCACGGAGAGTGGGGGAAAGGGGTTCCTTCACTGTATGAATTAAGTTTAGCAGACTTGCCTGATTTATATTTATATCAAAATTCTACACTTATTACTTTATAAGCAGAAGAATATTATTGTATATCGTTTGTAATATATATTTAACTATTTAAATTTCATAACAAAGAAGTTTACCATATTTTGTTATGACCATAATCGAAATTTAAAACAAAACTTAATAAAGCATGCAGTATTTATGTTAATATAATTTTATTACCTCCACTAGTGAGAAGACCAGTACCAAACCAAGGATGTAAAGTATCATAAATAAAACTCTTTTCAATATGTTTTGCGCTGCTTAATATTGTCTGAAATTACAGGATTTATTAAAGTTGTTTTATTCAGACTAATATGTAAAAGATATAATAGATAATTAATTAATTAATTTCAAAAGTATTTTATAAATATTTAATTACCTCTAATAAGTTTTTTACGTATAAACATGTTTTTGCAAATTAAAAATACAATAAACATCTTATCGTTAATGTATCAATAATAAAAATAAAATAAAATGTTTTTGATATTTTATTACCTCTAAATCATCCGGATGACGGATGAGTACTACGGGATAAAAGCTTTCCCAAACTTTGAAAATGGGATAGTATTGGTCAGGTATGGTACCCAGAGTCTTCCATAGTTCCTCTAATAAACATATGTATACGTTTACTACGTAAACTCACAAAATATTATAAATATTGATTGAAAAATATACGATTGACTATAGCGTTGTGTTAAAAATATTCCTACTATATCTACTGTATCTCAAATAACATGAATAATTCAGCAAATAAATGTTATCGCTTAAAAAACATTAATAAACTTTTACTAATTTAATTATGAAAAGAAATCAAGGTAAAAGTTTACAATAACTAACACAGCTTGGATTACTTTGACCTTGACATATGTTGTCAAGGTCACCCTCCTGAGTGACCTTCAGAAGGTTTTAGTCGGCGGTCGCTGCTTATTAAAAAGTTATAAACAAAAAAAGTTTGGAAAATATAGCAGCTATTTTGAGTATTGAAAGGCATAAACGACTAATATTACGTTTTTTTTTAAAGCAGAGAATACTTTATTTCGCGAAAAAGTCGCTGCTTTACCAAAACACAACATTTAAAGCAGTAAATTGTTGATAAATTGAAGTCTTTTTGTTAAAGCAGAGAATACTTTATTTTGCAAAAAAGTCGCTGCTTTACCAAAACACATTTAAAGCAGTAAATCGCTGATCACTAACCTACATAGGTTAGTTGACGCGCTTTAAAAGTATTTAAGTGTTTAAAGCGCGTTAACTAACCTATCCTTTATAAAAATTTTTCACCGTTTTTGCACCGTTTTTGGACCGCGAGAACGGTCAGTTTGAGTAGTAAAAACGTGCATTTGGTTCAATGAGTACGACCCGTTTTTGAGGCGCAAAGGGTCCCTTTTTGCTTAAAAACGAGTGGTTAAAGCGGATTGCGTACGAGTATATCCGAGTAGTAATAACGTATTCTTATGAGTATTTTTGAGTGGTAAATAGGTGCTGTGTGCGATATCGGTCCAATGCTACGTGCCAGTATCGAGCCAGTATCGAGCCGACACTGATTTCCGATATTCACCCGACATTAAAAAAAATTATTTGTTTTGAAATTTTATTACTATTTTTTAACTAAATTTGTTTCTTAAGATGCAGTCTCTGATTATAAATATTTTCTCGTATTTAAAAACACATATAAAAACACACTTACCTCAGTGGGATTCGAACTCGGGACCTCTGGATCGTGAGCCAACTGCCTTACGTGGTAGACTACTTCTTAATTTGATATAAGTGTTATATATAATCTACATATGTCATAACCAGCGCGAATATATAATTTTTTAAAAATTATCTTAAGAAACAAATTTAGTTTAAAAAAAGTATTAAAATTTTAAATTGGACATATGATATAATTTCTTAATCGGGTGAATATCAGAAACCAGTGCCTGGTTATTACAAAATTTTGTGTTCGTAAATATATTTATAAAGTTAAAACATCCTTATCAAATCCTTACAAGGGCCTTATTAGGTAAAAATAAGGAAACCTTTCTTATGGAATCCCTAGTAAATAATGATCGGAACCTCATTAGGTTAAAATAAAGAAACCTTTCTTATGGCATCCCTAATAACTAATGATCGGGGCCTTATGTTATGTAAGGCCATCCCTAACAAATTTCTACACGGGATATTGCACTTATAGAAACGTTCAATGCAAATTTCTCGCGAATATTTGAATATTACATCGTACCACTTATCTATATCAGTGAAGAATAAATAATGTAAGTACTAAAACATTTAACCCTTACGGTACACTTTGAAAAGGTTTTTAAGTTTGTAGAATAAATGTACTTCAATTTAGAGATAAGGAGGAGATAAGGAGTGGGAGTCTTTCAGAATTTATGAGAAATTTTGATGGATAGAAATCGAGCTGACTCTAAGTCCCCCTGTATGTACCATAAGGGTTAAAATCGGGCGAAATCCGCGGATATTTTCTTGTGAGTAAAAAAGGAACGTACTAACGTATTGTCACTCATCAACTGAAAAATGAGTATTGAAAACGGACAACCTACTGTGTCCTCATTCTTGTGGGTAAAAAAGGAACGTATTAACGTGTTGTCACTCATCGATTAAAAAACGTGTATTAAAAACGGACAATCTACTCAAAAATACTCATACGCATACTCGCGTATACTCATCATGTTCTTTCGCAGTAGACTGCGCGTGCTTAAGAGTGCAAGAAACGGACACAAAAATGATAAAACGGGCTAAAAACGGGCTAAAAACGATCTATATGAGGTATAAAAGCGGTGCAATATTTTTGTAAGGGATATATGCACCTATATATGCTATAGTTTCCAAACTTTTTTTGTTAATAACTTTTTAACGAATAGCGAGCGACGGCTAAAACCTTCTGAAGGTCACTCGGGGTCATGACCTTGACAACATATATCAAGGTCATTGAAATCGGTGAGGTCGCCAAACTTTTTTTTGTTAATAACTTTTTAATAAGCAGCGACCGCCGATTAAGTTATAAGGAAAAGTTACTCAGTATTATGTCCTTGACAACATATGTCAAGGTCAAAGTAATCCGAGCTGTGTTAGTTATTGTAAACTTTTACCAAAATCAATATGCCAATAACATCAGTAATTATCCCTTAAACACATATGTTGGGTATGCCATACCCGGTCGGTTCTTTAACCCTTAGTCTGTAAACCTGGGTCGTTTTCGTCCGGGCGAAAATCAAATGTAGTTGTAACTTTTGAAAACGGGTAGAGAAGGCGCCACTGCGCATCCGTGCCAGACTAGAGTCAAGCTCAACAGGGTCTTCTTTTCCCGCTAATTTTTCCAAGCCTGTTCCCTTGGCAGTGGTTTCGCTAGATAGTAGATAGGGACAGTGGGAATCTCGTAAAAAAAAAGTTATGCTCCCCGAGAACCCGCCTACCGAGTTTCAAGGCGCCACACAGTGGGGCGAACGCCTCATTTTTCGGTCATTTGCCTATAACTTCTACATTTTTCAATGAAATGACTTGAAACTTGACATAAATAATGTACGATTATTATACATTTAGTGTATGAAATCAAAATTATTTAATTAACAATTTTTCATAAAACGCATAAATGATTTTTTAATTTTTTAAATACTTTTTAGTTTTTTTTGAAAAATCGATTCTATTTTTAAAAAAATTTTTTTATTTTATACTTTTTTAGTGCTTTATTAAGGTATCTGGCACACAATTTAAAAAAAAAGAAGTTAAAATTGATGCACAGGACGCAAAGTTGAAATACGCGAGTCGGGTATGGCATACCCACGTTATGTATTGATGGTACTGACTGGACAGTATGTGTTTAAAGGTTATATATATATATCTCATCAGAAAGGAATGCTGCTAATATTACATTTAAAAATTTGTGTACAAAAACGAACCAAGAGACACAGTAGTGTCTCGCGCCAAGATCGGGACACTACAGTGTATATTTATATTAATTTACGCAAATGTATAAGAAATTTTAACTTACCTTGTGAACCAAGAAATTGGAATGCATTTCCAATAATGGGATGACCTGGTGGTCCTGGTATCAGATTGATAAGTCGTCCGTTCTTTCCATGATGCACATAATAATTATACATCAATAGAATAAGAATAAGTAATATCAATATAGTAGTGATCATCGTTTGTTGACCAAATAATTAGCCAGTTTAATCAAGTTCCGTCTCCTTCAGCTCTCTTCTTTTAGTTCTTAAATTACATAAATAATTAAAAATGTATTATTTGCTTCAAGATAAAATTTCATTACATTCCTTATATTTTATATGCGTTTGGTAAATAAAAAATTAAACCCAAGTGGTACGTATCTTTGTATTCCCATTTATGGATCTTCCTATTTTAACCTAAGTAGTAGTAGTTTTAATTCTTCTTAAAAGAATAATATCATAAAATTGTGTTACCTTACTGAACCCAAGTGATATGTAAAAATTAATAAAATGTTAAAAATTTATTTAAAAAAGAAATAGATAATTATTTCACAGAAAAGACACTTTCCAATTGCGTACAATCGCGCGACTTCAGGCGCCACTCACGCCTAAACCAGCCTAAACTATTGATTTTAGAGAAATGCCCTTACAAATTTTTTTATAGGGAATTTAATTCTCTAAAAAATGTCTGTGTGTGTGTGTGTGTGTATGTGTGCGCGCGCGCGCAATTTTCTGTATCTTGAATAGTTTTTGCAGCGTTTCGAGTAAAATGCCAAACATAGAGATATAAGTATGGAGTGCGCAAGCAAGCAGAAAAAGCGATATAGGAATAGAAAGACACTGTCTTTTCACGATACAGGAATAAAAAGAGAAAGCTGCCCGTATGGCCTCTTCTGTCTTTGTCTGGAGCCCATATGCAGCGTTCTTTTTCTATTCCTATATCGCAGCCTCTATACGCGCGCCAATATATGACTCGCGCACTCTAGTCTTATAGGTATCTCTATGATGTCGAAAGAGGCCAATTTTTGATGGTTCTTATTTTTGTTGCAAAAACGGGGTTGACGAACCATAAAATTGATATGTTTATTTCAGTGCCATTTATTATCAAATGGCACATCAATTAAGCTCCCGAATTCAAATTCGATTTAAAACCGTAAGTTGACCGGCCTAATAGTACTCAGTATTGAGTTGAAATCGAATTATTCTAAGTCGAAAATTCATCGAAAGTTGTGACATAAATCGACATAAATCAATCAATGAATATTTTAATATTTTTAATTAGTTTTTGATACATGTTTTTGATATCAACTTGACATCAATTTGATAAGATTTCTCGCTGGGTCAAGTTGTTCCAAATAAAAAACTTATACATTTTAAATATAACACAGCAGTTATAATAGAGGACAAACGCTAAAGTAGATAAGATATCATGTGCATATAGCTATATATGTTTATCCAGATAACACGTACGTCTTAGAAACATAGTAAAAAGATGTTTTTTTGAAGACATTTGTAAGATATAACTAAAAGACCACTTGAAAAATGTCTTCTATGAAATAATTCTTGGAGACATACTTAAAGATGTGATAAAAGACGTATTTTTCAAGACTTAAAAAAGACGTCTTTTATCACATCTTTAAGTATGTCTCCAAAAATCGTAAAATAATATATCTCGTTTTGCCCTATAAGTAGGAATGAACCTTGCTTGGCGTGGAAAGTTGGAAACTCGTACCAAACAATGTTTTCCAGAGAACTGTCCACGCGAAACGAGATCTACCCCAACCCACCTCTGCTTATAAAGTGAAAAGAGGTCTACCATTGTACAATTCGGGTTTTTAACTTTTCATGTGAACCGAGATCAACCCCGCGCCCCACCCTTGCTGCAGAGGGAGGAGCGGTAGCTCTAAATGGTAGTAGTTCTATTTCTTTTTAACAAAATTATTATATTATAAAATTGCGTTACCTAATTCAACTCAAGTGACATATTTTACAAAAAATGTATGAAATCTTTAAATTGCGTCAATTAGATATGTATTACCTCAAAAAATAACTTTTGCACTCTTAAAAAATTCAACCCAAGTGGTACGTATTTTTCTATTCCCATTTAAGGATTTTCCTATTTCAACCTAAGTGATAATAGCTTTAATTCTCCTTAAAAGAATAAGGTAACTCCGGTATATACGCCTCAGCTAAAGGAAACTTAATTTATCGAGTACTATTTACTATGTAAACTTAATTTATTGAGTACTATTTACTATTTACTATTTAAGGCAAATGAATTATACCAATAAAAACTTCATACTGTCTACTACTATAAAAAAAATATAAATATGAAATATTCATTCTTTGTATTTAATAAAAAAAACTTTTAAAAAACCTTGCATTTTTGCCATATATCCCAGAGAGGTGGGTTATATGACATTCATGGGTGAAATATACGCCTTATAAAAAATTACAAATAATGTTTATAAATAAAGCAATAAAATGTCATAATAAGTTATAAAATGTGTGTAAGAAGTTTATTAAGATGTAAGAATAATAAACAAATTATAAAACTGAAAAATTTAAAAAAAAATAGAAGAGCGATAAATGTATTAAAGATTATTGTTATAACGATCCAAAAAAAGAAGGAAAAAGAACACATAGGAGATTTTGAGTTTTACAAAGTGTCTGCACTATGGCATAAATCCTGCATCCTTGCCGTATATCCTAAACAGGAGGGATATACAAGGTATTAAGTTAAACAAAAAATACAAGAGCTATACACTTGTATTTTGCTGTATTCCATAATTTACTATCGCTCTACTTATGTATCATGAAATAACCATTAAACCTTTTACATTCCCTACAGTAATCATTTTACGTAGGTCGTAACACAAGATAACGCGCTTCTTACTACGGTGAGAAATCGACTCACGACAGTTTCATTAATATTAACAATATAGAACTGAAATTACAACACAATACTAATATGGCATAAAGGCACATAACAGAATAATTGCGAGCAAGTACCTTCATTCCTTCTATTTTTTCTGACATCTGCGGCGTAAAACCCCGCGCGGCGTAAATACCGGAGTTACCTTAATATTATAAAATTGTATTGCTTTACTCAATCCGAGTTATAATGTAAAAATTTATCTCAATATTATATATGTATTGTATTATAATTTATTATAAACCCTAATTTTTGTACTTTCTGTAATAATGTCGTACAAATATATATAGCATGTTTAAAACTTTGTGTAAAACTAAAATAAATTCGCCAATAAATAAATAAAAATAATAAAATTCGTAATTAAGCGACCCGACTGGTCAGTTCACATTTATTCTAATTCACAACGTTTCAACCATAATCTGGTTCTTCTCAAGTGAGATATAATTTATTACGCAACATTAGATATCATGCGTCGCCAGACGTTGTATTGCACGATGTAGTTAGGATACAACGTCTGGCGACTTATGTCTAATGTTGCGTAATAAATTATAATATCTCACTGGAGAAGGACCAAATTATGGTTGAAACGTTGTGAGTTAGAATAAATGTAAACTGACCAGTCAGGTCGCTTAATTTCAGATTTTATTATTTTTAAAACTTTCACTCATAATAATATATATTTATAATATCTATATACGTACATATCTCATTATAATATTACTCCTGAAAGAAAAAAACAATAGAGTATAAAATGCAATTATGCTTATAAAAAGTAACGGACTAGACAAACTATTCTGCATTATTCGATATCGCATTTTTATCTTTTTATCGTATGTACACAATAGAAATATACACTATATGACACTTGCTAAGTAGACTACATTAAAGTTCTGTCTTAGTTTTACATGTAGCGGAACCCGACTAAGAATCTGTGAAATAGATTGACTGTAAAATAAAGGTTTATAAACTAACCTTACGTAATATAGCGATACACACAAAATTTATAATTGCACGTATAAACTACACGAGACCTCCTATCACACTGCTACTTTCTGCGTTAAGTCAAGGGGCAATGCTGTGATTGTGCATGCATGTTGAGGGGAAAAACACTATCGTGCTGGTTCGAAGTCGTCGCACTCTGATTTGAGGTCCAGCAGATATGTAGTAATTCCACTTCTCGGACACGGACATGCACTATGTGCGATTTTACGATATATCGTTTATACCACGATTTTCTTTCCTGAATCGCAATCCGATATGCAATTTGACTTTTAATCACAAAATCGCACGAAATATAAAATTGTACCTGCGATATAAAAGTGTGCCTGCGATTTAAAATCGCAAATACAGTTCAAAATCGCACTTGTAACAGAATATTTATTTATTTAATATTTATATTAAAAAATGATAAAACAAAGTAATTTAAATGTCATAAATGCGTTTGGTTCCGATTAATAAATACGCTTATTTTTAACAGACATGATCTAACCAGTCTGTTTAAAATTTGTTTTTTTTATCAGTTCGTAAAAATTTTTGGTAATTATTTACAATAACTAACACAGCTCGGATTACTTTGACCTTGACATATGTTGTCAAGGTCACCCTCTTGAGTGACCTTCAAAAGGTTTTAGCCGGCGGTCATTGTTTATTAAAAAGTTATAAACAAAAAAAGTTTGAAAAATATAGCAGTTATTTTGAGCATTGGAAGAAATAAATGACTAAGAAATATGTCGAAATAGTTCACGCATACACTTTCCACGCGAAACGAGGTTTACTCACACCCCCCTTTTAGGGGAGGTGCGGTAGCCTCGGTAAATATTTACAATTAGAGAAATAGACAACAAGAAATTAATTGAAAAGAGGTATTTGTATTTTTGCCCCCCGAATCCAAAACTGTTGATAAAATTTGGGGGTCGCTTGTATTTTTTAAGATATCGTTAAAAAACGTATGTACTTATAATGCGTATCACTTACAATTAACTTTCATCCAATATATTCTATATAATATATCAAAGTACATGTGTGGGCGGGGGGGGCTTCGCCCCCCGCACCCTCCCATGAACACGCCTTCGGCGTATAGTAACTGTTTAAAGCGCGTCAACTAACATAGGTTTACATAGTAAACACTTAAATACTTTTAAAGCGCGTCACTAACTTACATAGGTTAGTTGACGCGCTTTAAACACTTAAATACTTTTAAAGCCCGTCACTAATCTATACGCCGAAGGCATGTCCTAAAATCAGTTAGAAGGTCCTCCTCTGCCTATTTGTGTACTGTTTATAAACATGTGTATAATACATGTGTATATATAATACGATATATTATTTACTATATACACGGATAATACGTATATATAGTACAATATAATACGAAAATACTTCAATTTATCAACAATTTACTGCTTTAAATGTTGTGTTTTGGTAAAGCAGCGATTTTCACGCGAAACGAGGTATTCTCTGCTTTAACAAAAAGACTTCAATTTATCAACAATTTACTGCTTTAAATATTGTGTTTTGCTAAAGCAGCAACTTTCAACGCAAAACGAGATATTCTCTACTTAAAAAAAAAGACGTAATATTGGTCGTTTATGCCTCTCAATACTTAAAATAACTGCTATATTTTCCAAACTTTTTTTGTTAATAACTTTTTAACGAATAACGACCGCCGACTAAAAACTTTTGAAGGTCACTCAGGAGGGTGACCTTGACAACATATGTCAAGGTCAAAGTAATCCGAGCTGTGTTAGTTATTGTAAATAATTACCAAATTTTTATTATAATTTTGTGTCATAAACGCAGTTTTAAATCACATGTCATTTTATATTATAAACACTATATTTTAAATTTCGCTGTTATATAATTTAATTTACATATACGTTATGTTATATAATTTTAAATTTTACTCCGGTAAGTTAAACGGCTTGACTGGCAAGTTTTATTAAGCAAAACACAACGACGTTTCGACCACTATTTTGGGTCCTTTTCAAGTTATTTTAACAATGCTGGAATAAAAGAATGAAAGAATATATAAAAAATTAAAAAATTAAAAATTAAACAACATTACGCGTTGAACAGATTCACGAGAATATCGGTAAATAGGACTTACATGGATCATTGTGCGTCAATCATATAAAATTCGTGGCGGGTCGGAAAAATACGACGGTCTCATGTGAAGGCCGAACAACTAATGATACATTATCGCAAAATACAGTAAACATAGAAGGAGAACTTAAAG